AATATATATATATATATATATCTTTCTCTCTATATATGTCTTCGCCCAATGAAAGAACTTTAAATAGTGAACCAAATTTACTTGACAAATTAACGAATCCATTAAAATAAAATGTTTTACGAGTTTAAACATTGCCTAATGGCCAGATTTAATCCAACAAATTGGTGGTGGGTCATCTTAGTTTTTGGAATAAAAAATAAATAAATTAGTCTAATATTTTCATACAAGAATAATAATAAATTATTCTTATTATGTTTAAATCCCAAGAGATCAAAAATCGGTGAATGTTTGATGAAGGTTTCTGAAGTGGAACTTTGAAAGGTGATGGATGTAATGAGTACTTTAGTATGAATCATTCTTTAAACTTTATAGTAAGGGTTTAGAGATCATATAACCTTTCGTCATATAGATGTATTTGAGGATAGATGTTAGAGAATCATTTGATTTTTTTAATTTGACGGTCTTTAGAGGCTAGTTAGTTTTAATCATGTTTTTATGATGTGTCCATTTTTCTTAGTAAGTATTCCTATTTAAGACGTGGGTGATCCTATTTGTAGTGGATTTTGTTTCTGAAGAACAATGTGATGATTTCTCCAATGTTGGTCGTGATAAGTCGCAATATATTTAATGTATTATGTATTTGGGATTGCTTGTCTCTATCGTTGCCCTGACTGCTTCTCTTATAGTGTTGAGCTCGATATAGAATGATCTTATATTCATGGCTCTTCATTGTCCCTACCTCCTTGTCGCGTGGAGGTCATGTTGAACATTAATTATATTAAATGAGGGTGTCTCCTGGCTTTTAATGACGGGGCGCTTGCCTAATCTAGGGCCTCTCCCTTTGGTCGTTCCCCTCTATTGGGTGAGATTTCTTTAGACGATCTAAGACGTAGGTCTTGAATGTACATAAGCCCCCCAAGCGTGAGGCCTGAGAAGGGCGGGGCACTTTAGAGTGATCTGAGACGTAGGTCTCGGATGTACATAAGCCCCTCAAGCGTGAGGCTTGGGAAGGGCTAGGCATTTTACAATGATCCAAGACGTAGGTCTCGGATGTACATAAGCCCCTCAAGCGTGAGGCCTGAGAAGGGTGGGGCACTTTAGAGTGATCTGAGACATAGATATCGTTTTTACATAAGCCCCTCAAGGGTGAGGCCTGAGAATAGAAAGATATTTTAGAGCAGTCTGAGACATAGGTCTCGAATATACATAAGCCCCTCAAGTGTGAGGCCTGAGAAGGGTGAGGCGCTTTAGAGTGATCTGAGATGTAGGTCTCAGATGTACATAAGCCCATTAAGCATGAGACTAATGGGGGTGAGGCACTTTAGAGTGATCTGAGACATAGGTATTGGATGTACATAAGCCCCTCAAACGTGAGGCCTGAGAAGGGTGAGGCATTTTAGAGTGATTTGAGACGTAGATCACAAATGTACATAAGTCACTCAAGCGTGAGGGCCTGAGAATTGAGAGGTGCTTTATAGTGATCTGAGATGTAGGTCACGAATGTACATAAGCCCCTAAAGTGAGAGGCCTAAGAAGGGAGAGGCGCTTAAGCTTGTTTTGCAGTCTCAGATCCTGAATCAGGCTAGTCGTTATGGTTTTACCTGTTGTTGCCACGGTGGATGTTATGTTTCTCTTTCTGCCATGTGTGGGATAGGGTATTGAGATGTTCATGCTCTGAACTATTTTTCTTCTATAATGATGATTTTTACTATGGGATGTGTAGCGTTTTAGCCATAATGATGGCTTTAAGGGGAAACATGCGACTTTAATCCTACTAAGTAGGGACTATTCATTTCTTGTGACTTTTGCGAAAATGCTCCATTTAAGTCTAAGTTTTCCTTCTACTTTTCACTCTTCCGAAATATTATCTTACTTCATTGGTCCTTTTCCTCTAGTCTTCTTGCTTTCCTTGTGAATACCGCCTTTGTGTGTCAAAGGTTTTTCCAGCATTCTCCCAAGTAATTTCTTGAACTTCTTAACTTCCTTTAGATTTTTGTTTATTTATTTTATCTCTATTATGGTGGTCATTCGCGAGTGTGACGATTCTGGTAAAGTGAAGGTGCCCGCAAGTGCGTTAAAACAACGCCAATTCTGGGATGAATATGTTAGGACTTTTAGGTCTAAATTTGGTAAGACTGATTAGGGTTCATAAGTAGGGAAGTATATGGTGATTTTGTCAGCCTTTCATTCTCTAGTGACACTGACTTAGTGTCTTCTTTCTCAGGTTTAGACGAAGTCATCATGGAGCTTTCGTGTGACTCTTATAACCAGGTTGTTTTAAAGATTGAATATGTGTACTTGAATGATGAATACATCAACTCTTTTAGGAAAAGTGCTTACATTTATAGTATTGATGATGAGAATGGTGTGGTGTTAGATTTTTACATCTCGGGCGAGAAGATCTGCAATTACCGCCGCCCGGATCTCCTGACCAGTATTTATACTTTTATGAGGATGTGCTGGAGACCCTTAGGGTCGGGGTGCCATTCATGGATTTTGAGGCAGGCGTTTTGACCGCCCTGAATGTCGCTCCCGCTCAGCTTGAACCCAACAGTTGGGGCTTTTTCGATCTTTTGAAATTGTGTGTAGTGTGTTGGGCGCGACGCCCACCTTAGGGGTATTTTTTTACTTTTTGTGAGGCTAAAGGTGTTGGGAGTGGTGGTCGGGTTTCTGTGGCGGATACTACTGGTCATCGCTTGTTCCAGGCTTACTCTTCTAATTTTAAAAATTACAAAGACAAGTTTATTAGGGTGTGGGGAAGTGAGAATTTTCCTTTCGTGTTGTATAATGAAGATGGGTCATATCGCTTTCCAATCTACTAGACCCAGGATCTTGTTCCTATTAAAGTTTATGATCCCAATAAGTTGAGCGGTGTTGAGAAGGATTTAGTGGATCTTTTTTATGCTTTTGAGGTCCTAATGGTCCGTGAGCTTTTAAACCATGAGGATGACCCTGTGAGTCTTTAGAGTTTTTTTAGGTAAATTAGAGTCCCATTTTTGCTTTAACCTATTGATGTTGTGTTGGTGTTATATAAAAATGTGTCCTTTTTATTTTTGTAGGTAATATAATGGATTTGAACCTAAAGGAAAGGATATCGCTGTTAGCGAAGGCTAAAGCTCTTTGCAAGGAGGGTGTCGGCATAGCCAAGAGTGACCCATTAGGGATCGTCATCCGGTCTCAGAAGAAAAAGAAGATTGGGGTTAAGGAAGTGTTTTCTCATGGCATGCCTATTTCTGTTGAGGCTCTTTCACGTCCATCCACTCTGAAGAAAAAGAAGATCGAACATGGGAAAGTTGTTGTTGGGTCGTCAAAGTCGGGTGAAGATGATTAGTTTGAGGGATTTTTGGGAGGGTCATCTGCAAGTGTAATGGTTGGAGGTCTTTCACCCTGTCCATTGTCGTTTAATTTATGGGACTCCTTCTTTGATAGCCTGCGATTTATGTATGATTTTCTTAATATCGATGAGAATGTAGACAAGGTTAAAGTCGTGGGTGCTCAAAAGCTAACTCAAAATATCTACCCTCATTTGTTGAATTCTATAATGCTTTATCGAGCATTGTTCGAAGTTTCTGACTCTTTTGAGAAGAATGTGGTCGAGCTGAAAAAGAAGCGTATAGAGGTGAAAGAGTATCAATACTTGAAGGACGTGTTGGTGGCGTCTATCAACGAGAGGATGGCTATCATGGAGAAGGAATTGCAAGAGCTTAGGGCAGATAAACAGTTGGCGGATGCTGAGCTAGGTACCATCCAGGGAGAGATGTCAGAACTAAAAGGTCAGCTTGCTGAGAAAGATAAGGAACATGAGGTACTTAATGGCAAGTTGGAGGTCGCGGTGATGGACATTCTCTTGGCCAGAGACCAAGGCTTCAACAAAGCTAAACAGCGGGCACTCTTTCTTCATCTTGATTTCAACTTATCTGCTTTGGGCTATTTCAAGGTCATCTGAGATGGACAGATTGTTATGGAAGAAGAGTTGAAGGCGTCCCTAGAGCTAGAGAATGTAGAAGATGTTTCTCCCTCCCCGGTCAAAGAACTTGGTAGTCAAGTTGGTCCTGGTGAGACTTCAAGGCAGACCCTTCCTTAAAATGATTAATCTTTTTTATGTTTTTGTAATATTTGTTGTTGTTGTGAGCCTGTTGTGCTCTTTTTGTGGCCTTGTTGGTGCCCTTTTGTTGTAATCGCTTTGCATCCTAATGCAACGCCCAAACATTTTATTTCGTGCAAGTGATTTTTTTAGCTTATGTTGGTTTCTCTCTTATTTGATTTTCATTAGTTATAGTATGTAGTTCTTTTCTCGACATGTTTTTTGGATGCTTTCATTTTGTCCCACGTAGTTAGTAGTTAGTAGTTAGCAGCTCACAGTTCTTTCACTTACTTAGAACATTTTTACTTATGTTTTTTTTAAATCACCTGGGTATTATCTTCCCAAGTCGTTCGTGGGGTGTTCCGAGAACCCTCGAGGCATCGATGCCATCAGAGAGCTTACTTTGAGTTCTCGACGAGCTTTCAGAGCACCTCGCTTGGCACTGGCGTGACCGAAGAGCTCATTATGAGTTCACAGTGGGCATTCAGAGTGCTATGATGGGTTTTGATGATGTCATATAGCTTATTATGAGTTCATGGAAGACGTTCAAAGCGCTTTGATGGACGTTGACACATCAGAGAGCTCACTATGGGTTTACGGCTGGTATTCAGAGCGCTTTGATGGACGTCGATGCAACTGAAGAACTCACTATGAGTTCGCGGCGCGTGCTCAGAGCACTTTGATGGGCGTTGACGCAATCAGAGAGATCACTATGAGTTCACGATGGGCATTTAAAGCGCTTTGATGGGCATTGATGCGATCAGAGAGCTCACTATAAGTTTGCGAAAGGCGTTCAGAGTTCTTAGATATGTGTTGATGCAAACAGAGAGCTCATTATGAGTTCACGACATTGGTGTTGTTTTAGTCGTATTGAACAAATATTTATAAGGATCATGAGTGCCTCGTTAAAAACCCTACCATTGTAGGGGAAAAGAGTTCCTCTCCTAACTATTTATTAACTTAACACGTGAATATTCATTACAAAATAAAGAGAAAATATAAAAAAAATGAAACTGAAGTAGTATCTCAGGCTGTCAGAGTTCCAAGTTCGAGGTATTTGCATTCTGTTGAGGTGCTCCAACTTGTAGGTGTCGAGTGATATCTCTTGTTTTACCCGTAACAGACCCTCCCAATTCGGCTACAACTTTCCTTTCTTTATCGAGTTTGTTACCCTGCATAGGACCAAATCCCTCTTTCGTATTGTTCTAGATTTAACTTTAGTGTTGCAACGTCGTTCTGCTCTTTGCTTCGCCGTATATTCTTGTATGTGTGCCATGTCTCTGACTTCATCATAGAGATCGGCATCAATTCGGAGGCCAACCTGATTGTCTTCCTCATCATAATAGGCCATGCACCATGTTAGGGTGTTGATCTCGATCGATAACATTGCGTTGGAACCATAAACCATTTGAATGGGGTCTCTTTGGTGGTTGAGTGGGTAGTAGTAAGATATGACCACATGATTTTGTGCATATATTCGACCTGTATCCCTTTGGCTTTATCCAACTTTTTCTTCATACCTGTCAGAATTACCTTGTTGGCAGCTTCAGCTTATCCATTTTTGTGGGGGAACTCGATGGAAGAGAACTTATTATGTATGCTGAGATGTGAGCATAATTTGATCACTATCGTACTGGAGAACTGCACGTTGTTATCTGAGATAGTAACCTTGGGAAGTCCAAAACGACGAATGATATTCCTCCAATAAAAATGACGCACTCTCTCTGATGTGATTTTGGCCACTACTTCAGCTTTAATCCACTTCGTGAAATAATCAACACCAATAATCCAAAATTTCATTGTTCCGGAGCCAAAGGGAAAAGGATGAGGATGTCAATGCCCCACTGGAAAAAGGGCCACGTGGAAAAGATGGATTTTAAAATATGTGTGATAGTATGTATGAAAGGTGAATGTATTTGACATTTCTCACATCTTTCCACGAAACAAGCATTGTCCTTCAACAAGTCGGGCCAATAGTACCCCACTCTTAGAATTTTTCTGGTCAGCGCTCTGCCTTCGACGTGGCTTCCGCGTATTCCCTCATGTACTTCTTCTAGGACTATCTGAGTTTCCTCCTCCATTACACATCTTAACATGAGAAACAACCTTCACATATGGTACATCTTCCTGGCCACAATAGTGTATTGAGCTGGAAATTTTTTTATTTTCAAGGCTTCTGTTGGGTCTTCAGGTAGACAGTCTTCAGTTAGATAATCTACTATAGGCATCATCCAACTCCTTCATGGCTTAATCATGTCCACTTCATCAAAATGGGTACTAGGGTATTCCAGAGTTTCCTGGATAATCGATCTATTCATGCCTGGACATTTGGTGATGGCGAGCTTTGCCAATAAATCCGCCTTTACGATCTCCTCTCGCGGAATATGTTGTATCTCAAAATTTTGGAAACCTCATATAGCGTTATGTACCATTCCCATGTACTTTGATAAACCACTATCCTTGGTCTGATACTTTCCCTGGACCTGATTTATTACCGGTTATGAGTCGCTTTTCACCCTTAAAAGAGTCGCATACCTCTTAAGCTAGTTTAATTCCAGCCAATAGAGCTTTGTACTCTGCCTAATTGTTGCTAGCCTGGAAGTTGAAACATAGTGATTGTTCAAGTAATAGGTCCCCGAGTCCTTCCAAAATGACGCCTACCCCGCTACCTTTTAAGTTAGATGATCCTTCCACGAATAAAAACCAGATGCAAAAAGGCTCTTCGTCCGTCGGGGTGCTGAATTCCATTAGGAAATATGCCAGGAATTGTGACTTGATGGTACTTCTTTGGACAAAGGATATATCTAACTCAGATAGTTCCATTGCCCATGACATCCTTCGTCCGACCAGATCGGGATTTGCAAGTATCTGCTTTATAGAGTTGTTAGTTTTCACGATCATAACATGCCCTTGGAAATATTGTCTTAACTTTCGGGCAGTCACCACGACAGCTAAAACCAGTCTTTCAATCTTGTGGTGCCTGAGTTTTGCGCCCTTGATTACCTTAGGGACGAAGTATATGGGCTTCTCTTTGTCTCCTTCATCTTGTACGAGCGCAAGACTCAATGTTATGTCTGAGACTGAAAGATATGGGATCAGGGGGAGCCTGTTATAAGGGCACGTCAGAATGAGAGGTGTGGCCAGGATTTCCTTAAGCTTCTGAAACACCTTCTCACACTCCTCGGTGCATTGGAACTTTTCTGCTTTTTTAAGTGCTGAGAAGAAATAGATTGACTTGTCTTCGTAACAAGATAAGAACCTTGACATGGCCGCAAATTTGTTCGTCAATTATTGCACTTATTTTAAGAAGGTAGGACTTTGCATTTCAATGATGGATTGACACTTATCAGGGTTAACCTTAATGTCTATCTGTGTTAGCATAAAACCTAAAAATTTGTTGGCTTGGACCCCAAAAGAAGATTTATCAAGGTGTAGGCGCAAGTTGTACTTTCTAATTGATGACAATGTCTCCTCCAAGTCGTTCTTATGTTGTCCGCCTTCCGCCATCTTTACTACCATGTCGTTTATATACACCTCCGGGTTCTCCCAATCTGGTTTAAGAAACCTGCATTTTTAGTCTGAATGGCATGACATCGTAATAAAAGTTTTTTCCTATTTGTCATGAAGGCGGTCTGTGTAGCGTCAGTCAGACTCATTCTAATATGTTTATAGCCTAAGTACGTGTCCATAAAACTTAACACCTTGAAGCTTGGTGATCCATTAATTAGTTTGTCGATGTTGGGTAATGGGTACGGATCTTTAGGACATGCCTTATTAAGGTCGGTGAAGTCCACACATATTCTCCACTTTCCTGAGCTTCTTTTACCATGACCACATTGTCCAACCAGGTGGGATATTTAATATCGTGAATGAACTAAGCGTCCTTGAGTTTTCTGACCTTATCTTCAATAACTTTTCTCTTTTCTTCGCTTTCTTTCCTTTTTCTTTAGATCACATGTTTTATCTCGGGACGTATGGCTAGCTGATGGCACACCACGTCAGTTTCAATGCCAGACATATCGATCGAGACCTAAGCGAAAAGGTCAATGTTTCTTCTCAACAACTCTATAATATCTAACTATTCCTTCATCATAAGAGTTGCTCCAATTTGTGTCATTTAATGGAGTTCTGAACCAATATTGACCCTCTTCAAGTCTTCTACTGGTGTTAAACTGCTTTCTAGGGATTCACTTTGAGGATCGAGGTCCACAAATTGGACATTATGTTGTTTTTGGGCGGGACCTTCCTTTTGACGTTTGTGCATCATCAATCTATCTCGATAGCACTGTCTGGCCTGCTCTTGGTTACCCTTATGACTCCGACCCTTCCTTCCCTCAAAGGGAATTTCATTTTTAAATACAAAGTTAATAGGGCTGCCTCCAGGATGTTAAATGCAAGACACCCTATTTTGATGTTGTAAGGAGATGGGGCATTGAAGACCATGTACCTGACCTCTTTCTCCTTTGCATTTCTTCCATCCCCAAATATAGTACCTAGAGTTATGTAACCTAGTACTTAAACATGCTCGCCTAAGAAACCCACCAGTGATCCCTTAAACAAACCCAAAAGATCCATGTCGAGTCTTAAACCCTAGAAAGTTCCCCAATACATGACATTTGTTGAACTTCCTGGGTCGATGAGTACCCTCTTTATGTCCCATGTATCGATCTGGACATTGATTACCATAGGGTCTTTATTGTACCCTAAAATTTTCCCTCTCATTTTATCAAGATTTCCCCCACAAGACTCTTTGGACTCGAGACAGGATTAAGGTTTGCTCTGCTCAAAACATCTCCTTGCACTGATGACCTGAAATTAGGGTTTGAGTTTGCACAGGGATTTTTGGACTTTCAATGCTTAAT